AGTGACAGTAAGTATTAGTACCTAACTTTTAAAGATGACCAAAGTGACAGTAAGTATTAGTACCTAACTTACAATGATGACCAGAGTGACCCAGAGAGGAATGTTATGATAGTTTACACCACTGACGTTGTGACCTTTATAATCCTAACATGTATCACTGAAAATGATTACTGTCCATGCACCTCAGCTTAGAAATATATGATCTAAAAATGTTTCCCAATCTTGAGATTAATGAACATAAGAACGATCACCTCCTAGCTCACAATGATGTGAGAGACAATACGAATTCTGACTTAGTTCACAATAATAACCTTAATGATAATAGGAATGCTTACCTAGCTCACAATGATGACCCTTTTTGCCTGGAGGACAAGAACATAGACCAGTTCTAGGATCACAAGCCCCTCCGTTACAGTTACAAAACTGGCCACAGTTCTTACCGTATGTGGTGTTAGGACAAGCTGAAACAAACATCACGTCAAGTGTGACTTTGAAATGATTATGATAAAACAATATCGATGATTTCAACGAAAACAAACGTGAATAACTCTTGAAAAAGTTATGTTCAAAACAACGTAATATAGCTTTATCGCAGATCATTTAAGGGAGTGATGTAAAACTTATGTAATACACATTTAGACTGAGACTCCTTTAACGAGTGCTGAGCATCCAGACAGGAAACCCTTTTATGTGTTTATTTTCTGACTTTTTCATCCAGATGTTGATCCGTCTAATGGCAGATCCGACCTACACATACAGACTGAGACTCTAGAAACACGTTTTACTGGTTATTTCTTGGAAAAGAAGTTATAACTGTTTTTGGGACTTATGGTCAGGCTAATTCCAGTTTAACCAAGACAACCTTGGGGCACGCATACCCTAGTTTATAAGTACAAAATGTATGAGAATGGTGTCAAATCACTTACAATACTGACAGTTGGTACCGTTGTACCCCGGTAGACAATCACATGCGCCAGTAAATGGATTGCAGTTACCATGGTTACTACACTCACAATTCATCTTACAGTCAAGACCCCAGTTTCCTGGGTCACACACTGAAAAACGAAATAAATGTGTTTGAAAAGGTTAGTTGATGATAATCTGCAATTATACCACACAATGGACATTTTTTGTCCCTGTAAAAAAAGGCAAAGTGATATAAACTTGAAGTTCGAACTTCAAAATACTAATAGCTTTAATTTTCGAATTGAGTACAGTTAGATCTTAACTGTGTTAAAAAATCAGACTTCCGGAAGGCAAAATGTATATAGAACATGGATTATATATTAATCATTGTATGAAATACAACATATTGTAAACAAAGTTATATAAACAACGTTGCTTGATTAATGTTTTAGATAATATAATATGATTTTGTCTGAAGTTCCCCTGTTTTATGTAAAACCAGCATATAAGAACCTTGCTGTAAAACCAGTAAACGTATTCCTGTGACAGAAATCACTCTGTGTATAATCAGTAAACTTACTCCTTTGATAGCGGTCACTCACTGTCTGTGTAGAACCAGTCCCCCAACCACCCCTACTTGCAGTATACGTACCTCTATGACAAAGGTCACTCACTACTATCAGTAAACTATCCCCTCGGGCGGAGGTAGTCTATAATCATTAAGCTTACCTCTCTGACAGACATAACCCTATACCCATTAAGCTTATACCTCTGAAGAAGTTCTACTATAATTAGTATACCTATCCCTCTGACAGAAGCTACACTATAATCAGTAAACCTATCCTTCTGACAGAAGCTACATTATAATTAGTAAACCTATCCCTCTGACAGAAGTTACACTATAATTAGTAAACCTATCCCTCTGACAGAGGTAACGCTATAATCAGTAAACCTATCCCTCTGACAAGCTACACTATAATTAGTAAACCTATCCCTCTGACAGAAGTTACGCTATAATAAGTAAACCTATCCCTCTGACAGAAGCTATACTATAATTAGTAAACCTATCCATCTGACAGAAGTTACGCTATAATTAGTAAACCTATCCCTCTGACAGAAGCTACACTATAATTAGTAAACCTATCCCTCTGACAGAAGTTACACTATAATTAGTAAACCTATCCCTCTGACAGAAGTTACACTATAATTAGTAAACCTATCCCTCTGACAGAAGTTACACTATAATTAGTAAACCTATCCCTCTGACAGAAGTTACACTATAATTAGTAAACCTATCCCTCTGACAGAAGTTACACTATAATTAGTAAACCTATCCCTCTGACAGAAGTTACACTATAATTAGTAAACCTATCCCTCTGACAGAAGTTACACTATAATTAGTAAACCTATCCCTCTGACAGAAGTTACACTATAATTAGTAAACCTATCCCTCTGACAGAAGTTACACTATAATTAGTAAACCTATCCCTCTGACAGAAGTTACACTATAATTAGTAAACCTATCCCTCTGACAGAAGTTACACTATAATTAGTAAACCTATCCCTCTGACAGAAGTTACACTATAATTAGTAAACCTATCCCTCTGACAGAAGTTACACTATAATTAGTAAACCTATCCCTCTGACAGAAGTTACACTATAATTAGTAAACCTATCCCTCTGACAGAAGTTACACTATAATTAGTAAACCTATCCCTCTGACAGAAGTTACACTATAATTAGTAAACCTATCCCTCTGACAGAAGTTACACTATAATTAGTAAACCTATCCCTCTGACAGAAGCTACACTATAATTAGTAAACCTATCCCTCTGACAGAAGTTACACTATAATTAGTAAACCTATCCCTCTGACAGAAGCTACACTATAATTAGTAAACCTATCCCTCTGACAGAAGTTACACTATAATTAGTAAACCTATCCCTCTGACAGAAGTTACACTATAATTAGTAAACCTATCCCTCTGACAGAAGTTACACTATAATTAGTAAACCTATCCCTCTGACAGAAGTTACACTATAATCAGTAAACCTATCCCTATGACAGAAGTTACTCTACAGTTAGTAAACCTATCCCTCTGACAGAAGCTACACTATAATTAGTAAACCTATACCTCTGACAGAAGTTTTACCATAATTAGCAAACCTATCCCTCTGACAGACGTAACGCTATAATCAGTAAACCTATCCCTCTGACAGAAGCTACATTATAATTAGAAAACCTATCCCTCTGACAGAAGTTACACTATAATTAGTAAACCTATCCTTCTGACAGAAGCTACACTATAATTAGTAAACGTATCCCTCTGACAGAAGCTACACTATAATCAGTAACACTATCCCTCTGACAGAAGTTACACTATAATTAGTAAACCTATCCCTCTGATAGAAGCTGCACTATAATTAGAAAACCTATCCCCCTGACAGAAATTACACTATAATCAGTAAACCTATCCCTCTGACAGAATTACACTATCCTTAGTAAACCTATCCCTCTGACAGAAGTTACACTATAATTAGTAATCCTATCCCTCTGACAGAAGCTACACTATAATTAGTAAACCTATCCTGCTGACAGAAGCTATACTATAATTAATAAACCTATCCCTCTGACAGAAGTTACACTATAATAAGGATACCTATCCCTCTGACAGAAGTTACACTATAATTAGTATCCCTATCCCTCTGACAGAAGTTACACTATAATTAGTATGCCTATCCCTCTGACAGAAGTTACACTATAATCAGTAAACCTATCCCTCTGACAAAATTACACTATCCTTAGTAAACCTATCCCTCTGACAGAAGTTACACTATAATAAGTATACCTATCCCTCTGACAGAAGGTACACTATAATTAGTAAACCTATCCCTCTGACAGAAGCTACACTATAATCAGTAACCCTATCCCTCTGACATAAGCTACACTATAATCAGTAACACTATCCCTCTGACATAAGCTACACTATAATCAGTAACACTATCCCTCTGACATAAGCTACACTATAATCAGTAACCCTATCCCTCTGACATAAGCTACACTATAATCAGTAACACTATCCCTCTGACATAAGCTACACTATAATCAGTAACACTATCCCTCTGACATAAGCTACACTATAATCAGTAACACTATCCCTCTGACATAAGCTACACTATAATCAGTAACACTATCCCTCTGACAGAAGTTACACTATAATTAGTATGCCTATCCCTCTGACAGAAGTTACACTATAATCAGTAAACCTATCCCTCGGACAGAAGTTACTCTATAATGAGTAAACCTATCCCTCTGACAGAAGCTACTCTATAATTAGTAAACCTATCCTGCTGACAGAAGCTATACTATAATTAATAAACCTATCCCTCTGACAGAAGTTACACTATAATTAGTATCCCTATCCCTCTGACAGAAGTTACACTATAATTAGTATGCCTATCCCTCTGACAGAAGTTACACTATAATCAGTAAACCTATCCCTCTGACAAAATTACACTATCCTTAGTAAACCTATCCCTCTGACAGAAGTTACACTATAATTAGTATGCCTATCCCTCTGACAGAAGTTACACTATAATCAGTAAACCTATCCCTCTGACAAAATTACACTATCCTTAGTAAACCTATCCCTCTGACAGAAGTTACACTATAATCAGTAAACCTATCCCTCTGACAAAATTACACTATCCTTAGTAAACCTATCCCTCTGACAGAAGTTACACTATAATTAGTAACCCTACCCCTCTGACAGAAGCTACACTATAATTAGTAAACGTATCCCTCTGACAGAAGTTACACTATAATTAGTATACCTATCCCTCTGACAGAAGTTACACTATAATTAGTAATCCTATCCCTCTGACAGAAGCTACACTATAATTAGCAAACGTATCCCTCTGACAGAAGTTACACTATAATTAGTAATCCTATCCCTCTGACAGAAGCTACACTATAATTAGTAAACCTATCCTGCTGACAGAAGCTATACTATAATTAATAAACCTATCCCTCTGACAGAAGCTACACTATAATCAGTAACCCTATCCCTCTGACAGAAGTTACACTATAATCAGTAAACCTATCCCTCTGACAGAAGTTACTCTATAATGAGTAAACCTATCCCTCTGACAGAAGTTACGCTATAGTAAGTAAAGCTATCCCTCTGACAGAAGTTACACTTTAATTAATAAACCTTTCCCTTTGACAGAAGTTACGCTATAGTAAGTAAAGCTATCCCTCTGACAAGCTACACTATAATTAATAAACCTATCCCTCTGAAAGAAGTTACACTATAATTAGTAGACCTATCCCTCTGACAGAAGCTGCACTATAATTAGTAAACGTATCCCTCTGACAGAAGCTATACTATAATTAGTGAACCTAGCCCTCTGACAGAAGTTACCCTATAATTAGTAAACCTATCCATCTGACAGATGTTACGCTATAATTAGAAAACCTATCCCTCTGACAGAAGTAACGCTATAATTAGTAAGCGTACCCCTCTGGCAGAGGTCTCCTTATAATAAGTAAACTTACCTCGATCACAGAAGTCGCCTGTGTAGCCAAGTCGGCACTGACAGGATCCATCTAGAGGACTACACATACTATATCCAAAGGTATTACATCGACAAGGAGTTGCACACTCCTGGCCATAAAACCCAGTTTTACAACTTTCCGTGCAGTGAACTGAAACAATAATTGTTTTTGTTTGTTATTGATTATTACATGTTCTTGATATTATAGATAACACATTTGGATTCAAAACTATCTTCTTTTTTTTTTTTAATTTGGCTGAGATTCAACCGGAGCCCTAAGAGAAAGTGGTGTCACCCTAAATTCTAATTCCATTGTAGATCATATTTAACAGATGTCTTTGTAATAATCAGTATTTAGATATGGACTTACATTATTTACTTTAACTCTAACCATTGAAATTAAACATAGCGATGTAAGTTTTATGGGTAATAAAACATTCAGTCTATACAATTTACAACAAGTAACAAAGTTGGCTTCTCTATTAATGTAAAAGATGCTATACATAGATCATCGATATATCTCACCCAATTTCCCCGCGGTTTTCCTCTGACCTTTGACTCTTTACCTTGTCTGATGACAACCAATATCTGATCAAGTGTAGAGCTCAATTCTTTCAGTTGAGTTATCTTAGTTTGTCGAGACATTTACGCCCTTTGATTTGACTTATCTTTAAATTCAGGAATAAAAGGTTATATGGTGATTATACTGAACGAAATAAATTATCTGATCTGATTTATATAGACGATAATATAGTCGTGCACTAACTGGTTTATCAGCTAATAAAGACCGTTTTAATGATTTAGTATAATCCTCTTACCTCCAGCAAATCCAGGCTTACATTTGCACAGCCCAGAGATAGGATCGCAGCCGTTACTATGGAGCCCACAGTCACAGCTATTGGAACAGTTATATCCCCATGTACCCGTGGGGCACTTCAAGAGAGAAGAATGGGTACTCTTGTCACAACATTGGTTTTTGTTGGTACGGTTTTAAAAGTGGCCAAAATTACTGCCGTGGTATTCAATCATGATACAGATATCTCTAGAGAAAATGTGAAGCTGATGATGAGGTATGATTTGGATGGTCTCGGCTTATATTATACAGACATGAATTTGTTATGCAACACTTAATGTTATCATAATAAGCACTACTGTGAGGTTTTACAAGATATTAAAACATGGTCAAGAACTATGTGTAAGGATTCTGAACATTTTTCTTTAGTTGGTAAACATGAAATTGTAGAACGATTCATCTAGCACAACCAGTGTAATTCCTTGCATATTTTACACCTTTGCGAACGTATCATTTTCTGGCCATTTGTCTAATAAAAGTAACAGAGCATATACTGTACTAGTCATCAAAACGTCACAAATAAACACGACATTGGTTGTGCTGCATGCGGCTTTAGATCATTTGTGTTTTAACTTGTGTGTAATATGATGACTTGTGTGATGCAACATTTACTGAACTAAGTGCAACTGACCTTTTGGTTACATTTTGCACCAGTCCATCCATCAGGACAATAGCAAAATCCATCTGTCTGTCGACAAGTTCCTCTTTCACATCTGAAATTATTAATAATTAATAATAGCGAAACTTGTCGTCGACATTTCCTTTTTGACAATTCTGCTCTGCTTTCAAATCGTTACATATCTCTGTGTATGCACGGTGTTTATGACAGATGCGTGCAGAGTGGCTGAACCTTTCAGAAACGACTGTTAATAACGATTTGATTTCAAAAATGTTAATCCGCTGAATTATTTAAAAATAATCGATACATTTTGTCAGTTTGTGTGAGTTTCAAATAGTTTGCATCATACATTATGACATAGGATTTCTCATCTATGAAAACATGCAAAAGCTCATTTCAAGATAATTGTATGTTCATAAATACATTTTCGCCTGGTTGTGGCTTCAGTCTTAGATATCTTAACAGATAGGCATATTTCATCATTCACTAGGAATGTGAAAGGTTTAAGTTCAACGACCATCGATACCTTAACTGTATGTTGCTTTTATTCAAACCGATTTTGCCCACGGCATTTTAAATGTCCACTCCTTTTCAGAATTTGTGTCTAAGAATGCCCCAAAAAGAATTGCGGTTTTGACTGAGTAACTAACTATAAATAGCTTACTTACGCACATGCCTGAGAGCAGTTGACACCAAACTTTCCTGTAGGACAGGGCTGGGTACAAACAATACCACCATAACCCGGCTGACAATGACAGTGACCTGTGATTGAGTCACACGTACCCGTGGAAAACTTTACACAACCCAAACACTCACGCCGGCAATTCGACCCGTATGTTGTGTTCTGTAAGGCAGATGTATAAACTTTCTTAAATTAACTCCGTCAAATAGCCAGCATAGATAGGAAGAGCACATCTGTTCATATCTTTAAAACATATATTACAAGTACCCATGTAAAAACAACTGTTGTGATACTTGACGGGTACTTTTAGCTGTGTAAATAATTGCGTTCAAGTTCATTGTAATGCATAAATTCTAAACCACAAGCAAATATCATCACTGCAAGTATCAAACTACTTTGTTGTCATGGTGTCAATCACCTGTCTTTCCGATAATGTAAGGTCAATAAACATATGGTAACAAAATAAGCACACAGGAATAGTATGGCGTGAACATACTTACAGAACAGGGTTGATCACAGCGGTTGCCTTTGTATCCAGGATCACAGAGGCAGGTGCCGATCTCCTGATGACACTTGCCATGATCACATTGACATGTCTGGTTACAGCCTGACCCGTAGTGGTCTGTCGACAAGGTAAGACAAATTTACCTGACTTTATAATACATTGCAGTGATGTGTCAGGTTAGAGCCTGACCAAAAGTGCTCTGTCAACACAGTTACAACAGTTTACCTGATATTATAATACATAACAATAACAGGTCTGGTTCTAGCCTGACTCAAAGTGGTCTGACAACAAGGTAAGAGCAATTTTCGTAATAAATAACAATGACAGATCTAGTTTCAGGCCGACCAATAGTAGTCTGTCACTTAGGTTAGAACAGTGTACCGGACATCATAATACATTATAGTGACAGATCTAGTTACATCCCGACCAATAGTGTTCTGTCAATAAGGTTACAACAGTTAACCTGACTTAATAATACATTACAAGGACAAGTCTGGTTACAGCCTGACCCGTAATGGTCTGTTAACAAGTTGAGAACAGTTTACCTGGCCTAATAATACATAACAGTGACATGTCTAGTTACAGCCTGACTTAAAGCGATCTGTCATTACAGTTACAACAGTTTACCTGACATTATAATACAAAACAGTGGCAGGTGTGGTTCTAGCCTGACTCAAAGTGGTCTGTCAACAAGGTAAGAGCAGTTTACTCCTGACATAATAATACATAATACATGTTTAGGATTGTTAATCCACAATCTTGATCAGATGGCGTAGAAAGTATTGTTATATTACTCAAACTAAACTATTTGTTAAAGAAACATTTCGAACTACATAACTGTATCCAAGTTGGTAAATGTAAGTGAAATTGCTCTGAAATTATGTGCCGGAAACACTAATTATAAAAAAGGCCATAACACAGCAAAAAAAAGAGGAAAATACTTGATTTAAGTGAACACTACCACTGGCATCTATAATAGTGCTCGCATACTCAGTGTAGCAATAGTAGATAACATGTACACGTATGAGATATGTACGAAAACGGTTGAGTGGTCAAGAAAACCTAAACCTCTATGTACATTCATAGTTAAAGACATTGGATTCATCTGTCGCAAGAAGTACTCACGTACAAAACATAGTTATTGGAGGATACAGTTTATATGTATATATCACAAACAACATAATAAACAACAGAACGGATGAAAAAAACACACGTTAATGGGATAGGGCAGATGGGACACTAATACACTTTGTGTACCTACCTGAAGGACAATGCTATTCAAGATGACTATCCTCTCAGTCTGGGACACAGATTTAGTTTTTGATCTACCTAGGAGATATTTCTGGTCACAGTGGCTTTCTCTGCCAATCAGGTCCCCTTTTAGTGTTTGTCCTACCTCTATGACACTGCTGTTCACAGTGACCTCCCTGCCAGCCAGGACCGCACACTTAGGGTAAAACATACCTGTAGAACATTGCTGGTCTCACTGACTCCCTTGCCAACCAGGACCGCACACTTAGGGTAAAATCTACCTGTAGGACACTGCTGGTCACACTGACTTCCCTACCTGCCAGGACCGCACACTTAGGATAAAACTTACGTGTAGGACACTGCTCATCACACTGACTCCCCTGCCAGCCAGGACTACATACTAAGGGTAACACCTACCTGAAGGGCATTGCTGGTCACACTAACTTAGGGTAAAACCTACCTGTAGGTCACTGCTGATCACACTGACTTATGATAAAACCTACCTGTAGGACACTGCTGTTTACAATGACTCCAACGCAAGCCAGGACTACACACATAGGGTAAAACCTACCTGTAGGACATTGCTGGTCACACTGACTCCCCTGCCAGCCAGGACTACATACACACTGGCCATTACTAGAACAGTGTCCATGAAAACAGGCGCATTCATTTCGACATCTATCACCATAGAAACCTTCTGAACAGGCACAAGAGGTTCCCTGATAAGCAAAATACATAATGTTTCATCAATGGAACTATATTAAAGTATGCATTATTTTTTGCACAATTTTATAACACATCTCATTAGAAGCACTGACTTACAATAAAGTGTTTGTCATACGTCTGTTGTGCAAGCAGGACAAGGAAACATCTAATAAAACAACTTGTATCCCAGCCTTCAAAATCCTCCATAGACATGCTCTCAAAATTTTGGGAGTTTTTTAAAGTGTTATGTACGTTTACATAGGGACTAATACATGTCTTTTTCCATATCACACCCAGCATGTAACAACAATAATCCGGTTAGAATATAGTTATTACATTTGTAATGATTTTAATTCAATGTCAAAATTTCCCTAATAATCTGCTGTTTCCACTCTTTTTGGCTTTGTCATTGTGATCCCTGGAAAATATTCCTTTTGGAAAGAGACCCCAATGTTCGTGCCTCAATTCGTCGCCATATTTTAGCATCAGCCATTACGCAGAGGGCTGATATGGGTTAGAGCAATTGTGTCGTATCGCATATACAAAAAAAAAAACGTTTTTATTAGTAAGTATGTAATAAACTTTAATACGTACAAAACATGTACAGCATTGAGTATAAACTTTAATACATACAGAACATGCACGACATTGGCCGGTGCCTTTGTCACAGAATCCATTCATACACCCCGGACACCTAGTTGAACAGTTGCCATAGAAAGGTTCCGGACAGCTGCTCTCGCATCCTGCTCCTGTCCAGCCTGGATGACATGTACATACACCAGTTACCTATTTGAAAATGAGCAAGATCAGACTGTAAAGCAGTGGTCAGTATGTCATATTGGAGATCAGCGATTATCATGTGTATGGATATACGCAATTAAAACTCAAAATTAAAATTGAATATTTCTTCAGTGAAACAGTGAAATAAAATTCCAAAGTGTCGCCGCAGTTACATATGCACAATGTTAGGTTCTATTAATTGTATGAATATTGATGTAGTGCTGCAATAGGACCATTTTGACATATTTGGCATGAACATCATTCAGTATCACTTAAAGTAATGTCTGAATAGGATCATTCATGCATTTTTTTCTCAATTTGTATTTGTTGTTGTTGAATAAATACCCGATCGCAGTGGGCCTCATTATGGCAGTTACATGTAGATGTACAGCCCGGCCCGAAAAATCCGACTGGACAGGACATTTTACAGTCGTCGCCTAGGAACCCTGGTTTACAGGTACAAAGTCCTGTCTCCGTTTCACATTTGTCTGTTTGGTTCATCTGACAGATACACTTTTCCCTACAGGTCACGCCGAACCTACGATACAAATGATTCAACAAAAGTCGTCGTTATTACTTACCTCCGACCTCTTGAGTCTATAGATAGCATCAGAATGTAACAGAATATGTTCTGGTATAAGTTTATGATACTGGCGATAAGAATTAATATCGTTTTATAGTCCTATATATCGTGTTGTAATTCAGATAATATATCCACCCTGTGTGTAAGATACAACGCAAGCTTCCATTGGATATATGAAATTATGTTCTCTTTTTGTTTTATCTAAAGCTACGTAAACGTCATGTCGATAATTGAAATTATGTATTCTTTCTGGTATATACGAAGTTGTGTAAACGCTCTGTAGATTTCTGACATTATGTATACTTCTTGGTATATATGAAGTTATGTGAACGCTCTGTAGATATCTGACATTATGTATACTTCTTGGTATATCTGAGGTTATGTAAACGTCTTGTCGATATCTGACTTGATGTATACTTCTTGGTATATATGAAGTTATGTAAACGTCCTGTCGATATCTGACTTTATGTATACTTCTTGGCATATCTGAAGTGACGTAAACGCTATGTAGATATCTGACATTATGTATACTTCTTGGTATATCTGAAGTTATGTAAACGTCCTGTAGATATATGACTTTATGTATACTTCTTGGCATATCTGAAGTGACGTAAACGCTATGTAGATATCTGACTTTATGTATACTTATCTGAAATTATTTACGATTCTTTGTATATCTGAAGCTACGTAAACGTCCTGTAAAAATCTAAAATTGTGCACACTTGTTGGTATATCTGAAGCAGCATACACTTCCCTGATATATCCATAGCTGATTTTTTTTCTTCGGTGTACCCGAATCTATGTATTAAATTGCTTGGGATAATTTGAAGCTACGTTCCCTTTCTTGATACCTTTTTTTGTGGTATCATATATTGCGATTCGGCTCTACAGTCTGAAAGACCACATTTTGATAATTTGAAACTAATTTGATATATCAAAGGCCAAGCTTTTGAATTTTGCGTCTAAGAAGGTTAAAGTTGTCGCTCAGGTTTATTATACATCAAAAATCAATTAGCATTATTTTTGAATCAAAGTTCCAATTAATTTTCCCAGCTAGACTTACGTCCCCTGTGGACATGGTTGTTCACAGTAGGCTCCAAGATAGCCAGGCCCACACAGACAGGCACCGGTCTTATGGTCACAGTCAAAGTCAACTAAACATTGACAGTTCTGTCGACACTGTTTCCCATAAGTATTGTAGGGACAGGACTGCAAACAATGAACACATTTGTTAGAAAATATTTAATTTAGATAATTAGTAGCGTAATTCTCGAATTGTGAAAAAGAATACTACACGAGGACACATCAAAAAGTTTCTGTCCAAGCACATATTCATTTCCCACAGATGAGATATTTGAACTCCAATATTTATTAGTTGCAACTGGCTGGTTACGTTTGAAAACCCTGCGAAGGGTGAAGAGAGATATTGTTTTGTTCTTGATAGGTGGTATGTTTATTGTAAAATGGAGAAGCCAGAGACGAGAGCATTTACAAAATATTTACATATGAAAGGCATGTCACCCAAGGAAACTCATGATGACATGAGGAATGTTTTAGGTGATGACTGCCTTCCTTCATATTCAACTGTTAAACATTGGACTGGTGAGTTCACGCGCGGGAGAACCAGCACTGAAGATGAACGGTCAGGTCGCCCAACAGATGCAACTGCCTATCTTCAAGTGGATGCTGTGCATGGTATGGTAAAGAATGACAGACGAGTCACCATTCAGCATATTGCTGATACTGTAGGGATACGTGTTTAGACAACCCAATCAATTTTGTATGATGTCCTTCACATGAATAAACATTTGGCAAGATGGGTTCATAGAATGTTGACACCAGCCCAAAAGTTGACTAGGATTAATGCTATTTTGTATTTTCATTTTCCTCTCAACTCGCATAACGTGAGATCATCGTCAGAAGCAACAATATAGGTTAAGTGAGGCTATTCCAGGAATACCGTTTTCGATGATGATACACTTCAATTTCATAGCTATTTTATAATATGTTTATATTTTGTATATCACCAATAACTATAACATTAGAATCTAAATATACGTATTGAACAGATGTTCATCCCTTTAATACAAAATATTACAACTTTTAAATGATGATATGTGAGATAGAGATCTTTTGAATGGAAACCATCTTTTCTGTCTGTTTTTTGTTGTTATCCTTGTGTAATAAACACTTACCTGATCACATCTGTGACCAGTGAAGCCGCTGTCGCAGTCACACACACCAGAAACAGGATCACAGCCCTGACCATTACAGTCACAAACGAAAATACAGTTTGGTCCATACTGCCCAGGGTCACATTTGTCCGCGCAAAAAGCTATCAAAATATATTATTTTGAATGTTCAAATAACCATAATCAAACATCAAGGTTAAAGCTAGGGGAAAATTGAATTATCTAACATATTTACTGATTTTTATCATTTTTCCACGACGTCCATTCATTGTGCTTACATTGACGGTACAACTTTAAAACCAAGACAACACATTGATATACTCATTGAATATATACGTTATACTTCGGTCATACTCCTCCTTCCCCATACAATCTCCCTTACTTACGTAACTTATATCCGGGATCACATTCACACGTTCCATCAACTGGATTACACGATCCTCCTTGGTTACAGTCGCAGGCTGTCGAACAGTTTCGGCCCCAAACCCCCGGCGGACAAGGGAAGCTACAGCTGTGGCCGTACCAACCTGGTTGACACCTGTAAACATGTCGTAGTCGTGATTAGTAATCTATCTAAACTTAATTACGTCACAGCCTATCAACAAACATGCTCATCAACAAAATGAAGTAAAACATGCAAAGACATAAACAAATATCTCTCTACCTTGAAGTAACAGTGTACAGTAGCGTACGGTGGCCATGAGTGATATATTTGTACAATGAATAACCCCTGTAATATTACATGAATCAAAATTAAAAAAAATAAAAATAAAGGAAATTGGTATATGCATGTTGTGGACTATGTCGGCTTCATAATTTAAAATAAAATCGAATTTGGTTTGAGACTACAGGTTTGGCCATTTACAAATCTGTGTCTACACAACAAAAGCTAGCTTTTCATGTAGTCTATTTTTGTACTCGGCACATGTATAAATATTGTGAAAAATCCAGTTGAACAACCTGTGCTAAAACGTGAGTATTTCTGTTACCGAGTAGGTGATATATTGGATTTAAGACAGGTTTTAAGAACAAAAATACTACTTGTGTGGGTCAAATTTTAGGTTAAAAATGTGGGGTTTTTTTTTGCATATTTTGATGTTTTTTGATGAGGTAACCATGGTTTTCACAAGTCCGAAATCATTCTTCTAAAATAAATGTATTCAAAATGTAGTTTATATATATATGTAGGTGTGTTGTGCAAGATAGATCCACTATTCATGGTTATCTGAGACATGCCCTTTATTTTTAGGAATCGGCCATTTCTACTGTACTCTGCTACCTGAGGGTGTGGCAGTCAAATCTCCAACCGAGGATGGTTTGAAATTTCTCTGTCAAAATGAAGATAGGGTCATATTTTTTCTTTCATCATTCCCAATACTGTTTTGAAAAAAATATTCTTAACATTTTATGCAGGATCATAAACTAATTTGCACTTGATCTTGTCTGTCGAAATCTCACTATGATGTCATATCTGATTGTTCACCTGACGTCATAGTATTAATTCTTTTCACGTCATATTCATCATACTCTAAAGAATAACAGTGAAGCCAAACCTTAAAGGTAGGTAAACTGGAAGCTAGTTATGAGAAAGGAGAAAAGCAGATATATATATAGTCCAGGGAGAAACAGTACATAGTACAGTTACACATTGATAATGTTTATGTATAATATGGGTATCCAGGGAGACAAAATGTCAAACACGGATAATGGGTGGTGTTCTGGAAGACAATAGGGCAACCGTAATTAATTTGCATTTATTTTAGTGATTTTTCAAGGACCAATATTTAGTGTCTAGGGACACTGTGATTCAGGGTCAAAAAGATATGCTTGTTATTTTCGCGAAAATAGTTAAAGCGCCTGTTCGGGGAAAAAAATGTCATATTTGCTAAAATGGCATACACATGTTTAAAATACTTCTTTATGAAATATATCGATTCAAATTTTGGTGAAATTCACTCCCTAAGAGTAAAAAATATAAAAAGCTGACAGTCTAAATCTCTCACTTGACCCAGATCAATAATGTAATTTTACCGCATGCGCGTCATCAACAAGTCCATTTATTGTAAACATCGTGGCGAAAGAAAGATGTGTGCCAATTTGCCAAAGCCATTACAGGCACAATGTATCGTCAAAGAACGGTTACAGAGTCCACTACAAATCGCAAAGAAAAAGCAATGGGCGTTGGACAACCCTTTGGAAGCTGCATAGTAGGTCGACAGCTGCTCAACACACGAACACGCAGCGCAGTTCTTCTCGATAAGTGGTAAGTGTGCCCGGCTGTCAACTGTTCGCAATTATAGAACATAAGTTGTATATATTTACTTTAATGAGAATTATTTTGTTGGCAAACGCTACTTTTAAGATGTTATTAGAGCGCACATGTTATCAGTGTCCAGCAAAAGGGGAAATTTATTGGAAAATGACACACCCCATTTACGTCTTGTTTGATTTCAGTGGGGCCCCTTGGAGGGTAATTTCGAACTTTTTAGTGTACAGACAAAACATAATTTTGTTTGGGGCGGTTTTCGTGGTTATTAATTATTTTTAATATTTTACACATGTTTTCATTTAAATGTTAAGTGTTATGATATAAGTAAGGGTTTTCATAACACCAATAAGTAAATTGTAAGGCCTATCAGACGAGTATGATTTATTTATAATTCTCCTACATCTAAGACGTTAGAGCTACATGTATATATGTAATGAAGGACAAAATTAACTACATGAAAATACAGATTATACTCTGCTGATAGTGATTATAACCAAATCTACTGTACATAATTATTTAATAATGTTAATGGATCCTGAATTCATAGAACTTTGTTTATATTGACAATATTGACGGAGGAATGTTTAAAAATGAAGATGAAGATGAAGTTTTTTATAGTGTATATATATGCTGCAAAAATAAATGTTTCAAGTTAAAAGTTCCCTACAAAAGTCGCCGGAAGGGGTTGTGGTGGTGTTTGCTGGTTGATTGCTTTGAAAAACTCTCTGATATTATAGTAATAGACAGTACCTCAATCTGTTTACAGTAAATAAAAAACAAATATTATAACCTCCCTCTCCTTGCATTTAAATAGTTCTCATTGATAACGAGGACTCATGGTAAACTGCATGTTTTAGCCATCCACCTTCCACCCATAATTGGTCCAGGATTAAAGAGAGTGTACATGTGCACGTGTCTCCTATAGTTAATATAACATCGATCACTGGTGGGGTATCGTAAAATTCAGTTAATTTTCAATGATATTTCTTAAATTTTGATAAAAAAAAAGGTATTCGGAGAATATTTTATTTTTCAAGTAATATTTATTTTTACATGTTTTAGGTGTGCTAATTCAGTGACACAAGAAATTCATGGTGCAGTCACTTCCACACCTGATACTTTAATGAGGGAACCTGGCACTTCAATGGAGACACCTACATGTAGTACTTCGCGGTGTAGGAAGGCATAACACACATCTACGGGGGCACCGGTACTGATAACATCCAAACCTGCACATACAGAACCAGTATTCTCCCCATGCTGTTTTTGCAGCATGGCACCATGCTCCTATAATTTCTTGCCATGCTGCTATCCTAGATCTTCTCTGCTATATATTCATAGCAAATCTAAAGTTACCATGCTGCTGTGATTTTACATAGAGTGCTGCTTTAACAGAAATATTGAAATACCATGCTTCTTTCAAAACATTCTGGGGAAAACAGCGAGAACCTAGCCTTTCTGTTGATACAGCAATGCCCAATACCTCAGATAAAGATTAAGTACATGTACATGTATGTATATACTTTCATGGAAAATATCACCCACAATGTGACAAATATATTGTCGTAATATAAGTTGTATGTATACATCACATGTAACACCTATGAAATGTGTATTGTTACTACCGTATGTATATATACAGATGGTAAATTATAATAAAATGGAAACATCGCCTTGAGATCTTAGGTCAAGAATTATAATTGTATTTTGCATTCATTTAATATAATGCCCCCGTATAACTTTGTCTGGGTATACTGTTGTACCCCAATTCCGTCCGCTAATTAAATATTTTCGATTTTTGGGTATATCTCAAAAAGTACAAGTGGTAGGCAAATGAAACTTGAAATGATGTACTATAATGGATAATGCAAAACAAATATGACATCAGGCTGTGTGAAGCTTTACTTTTCTAACATTTTTGGGGTAAAAAACACATAGTTTGTCATTCTTCTTTTATTTTCAAATTGCAGAGCTCAGTCATCTCACTTATCTGATATATCTGGTGTGGAAGCAATGCAATCAGACTTGGAAGTTTATTATGGCAGTATTCAATGAAGTAGCTATCAAAGCAAATACATACAAAAATATTGATGTACAGGTTTACGTTCTACACCAAAATACCAAACATGAAGTTTTTTGTTTTTTTTTCAACATATTTATTTCTTTTTTTTTCACATGTTATTTTACAAAAGACAGTACAAAATCACAACTTGCATACACTCTTTCTCTCGTACTTTGGATATTTAAGTATAATCTTTCGAATTCCCCTCCGAGAAGTGCATTACACATGTAGTACCTGTGTATTTGTGACCGTAGCGGTCTGGAGTTGGAATGGATAATTCAAAATTGGATAATACACATCTCGGGCGCAATCGAATTAGGTACAAGTTATAGGTGTATATATGAATAATACATACTATTTGGTAGATAAGCTATGGTATCATTAAGTTAGAAAAGAGTCTCCATTTTTGGAGAAAGGTATGTTGTTTCCCTTTACATGTTGCGATATATTTTTCCACTTTATAATTGTACACTATATCTCTCTTTACACTTTCTATGAAAAGTGTATCACCTTTAATACGTTGTTTGTAAATGTAATATTTAACAATTAGCATAATAAGGTTCTGCACATAATATGTTTTACCTATTTTCCCAAATATGTTGTTTTGCAAAGTTAATGTAAACAGAGGTTTTTGAGAATATCCAGTTTTCAAGAAGTAGCCAAAGCCTCTCTACATGCTCACATTCAAAAAATATGTGTAGTAAAGTTTCTTCAGATTGTTTGCAGAATGTACAAAGTGTGTTATTTTTTATTTTTAATTTGTGTAAGAAAAGTGTTAGTTGCAAGTATTCTATGTATAATTCTATACTGAAACCACTGCAGAGTCACATCTGTTGTTATATTGAAAACTATAGTTTGTAATTTTATTAATTCAGTATTTTCATCAACACCTAGCACATTTGACCATTTGTCAATATATTTATTAGTGCATTTAATTTTGGAAATAAAAATATCATACAGGTCTCTACTTCCTTTTTTGCTTTTATTTAGTACTTCTATGGTAATTGGAATAAATGGTTGTTGCAAATCAGCCAATGCATTGTTTAAAGTACCTATCAGCCATAAAGGCATAAGTGAGTTTCTCAAGCGGTAGAACACTGTATGAGGTGGGCGGAAGTCATAGACTCGACAAAATTCATCATAGGAATAAAGACGGTTATTTTCTACATGAAGTTTGTAAGTGGGGCAACTTTAAAATGAGGAGAGCTGACAGACAACATTGAATAAGACTTCCCTCATTTATAATTATAACACATGAACAACTAGTTGTTTGAATGAAATGATGAATGTATGATTGAACTTCAGCAATGAGATGGATGGATATATTATGTGAGAAACAAAATATGAATGAATGTATGAATTAATGATTGTCTGAGACTCAGGGTATTGTGTATGAGAGCCCTCCTGCGAGAGGACATTTATTGCAAGGAAGCTGATACCAGGACCCAAACCCTGGCAGCTTTCAATTGTAAATTTAAATCTGGAACAATAAAAGTTTCCAAAAAAATGAAAGCATTTTGAGTTTTTCGGTTCCTTTCATTAGATCAGTAGACACAACAAAGAAACTGTAACTGACAATATTTGTCTAAAACTGAGACTTGTATACAGAGAGACTAGTAACTTGTTCTTTGCCTATACTCCTCGATGTGTGAGGTCATTTAAGACGAGAGGCCCTGAAAGGCCCAATATGCCAGGTATTATATTGCAACTTTTATCGGTAACTACATAATGATTAAAGATGAAAGTATACAAATACATGTATACAGCAAGTTTGATTATAAATGTGACTTTGACCTGGTGACATTTAACTGTAGCCATGTGATTCCTTGCTGGTTTCCAACCAACTCTGCTTTTGGGAGACATAACAATATTCATGTCAACAAAATTAACCTCCGTAACCTTCACCTTTGGTCGTGCAACCCCTTGTTCTATCTAATCTACAACATCCAAGTTTAGAGCCATGAGTCTTACAATGATCCAGTTAAGTTTTAACAGACCTGTATCAATTTGTATTCGCATTTTTGATAACTAAGGGACTTTTAAAATCACAGATTACGTTTGCAATCATTTTATATGTATGAGATAATTATGTGGTTTAAGATTGCATAATTAAATAGTGTAGGGTAATTAGTATGTGTAACTTGTGTACATTATAACATTCTGCTTTCTTGATATCACAATAATGTAGAATAGATTAAAACCCGATCTAAAAAGTGATGTTGTGCATAATAAACATGTCTACAATCAATTGATAGGCCTATTTATCAAAGTTTCAATGACACAGTGTCAATATGCCTGTTTACCTGAAGTTGTAACGTTTCTCTTCGCTTCAAGTTGGGTCTAGATACGTCTCTTGGCCGTTTTGATTATTTAATGAGTATTCCCGACATTCCCAGGCAAACACTTGCTATGTTTTTGCCAACGATATGCTATGATTGCTTCAAAATAGTAAATACAACTTAACAAATGAAACAATGACATTAATGACGGGATTTAGATTGCCCCATCGCTGCATTGGACGACGATTTGCAGTGATTTCCACGTTTATTGACATTATCATCAATACAGTTATATATAACATCGACGGATAGGTAGGGATACTACACTTGCATCATACATGACCTCTTAAATAAATTATTTATATATAATATTGCTGTCTTGTCCGCTAGATGAGTCCTACATGGCTGAGAGACGGCGTGCTATTGTTGATATATTCACTGCCTCGCTTTCGAAACAACCACGTGACATGTATAAATAGATCTGTGCTAAATTTACGCGGGGCTTCCTCGATATTTAAGTGGTCAAAACTGGACATTGCAAGCAGAACTCGACCATCATATTGCCGTGGTATAATTTTTGGAAGACCAGAGAACGCATTTAGACCCATTTATTGTGTATTTTTTCCCCGAACAGGCGCTTTAAGTATTACTAATTTGGGTGATTGTCTATCTTGTTTGGAAGTAAATCAGTTTGTTTGTGTCTTATTATGTTTACTCACATGCACTTTCCTGTAGCCTTGTCACAATCAGTTGCACCGGTACAGTTACATGTGTCTGAAATGAAAGAAAATACAATTTAAAACAATCTGAAACAAAAAACGCATTTGCAGTTTGACTGAACTGAAACAGCTATACCACCTGATAATATTTACTGATCTGCAACAATAAATAACCACATCTGTAAAGTTGTACTTGCCTTAACAAAAGATCCAAAATGTTTTCGTGTCATTTAAAATGGACTTAATTACATGGGGCCAATACGAACACGGGGCAATCTTAGAAGCATGAATGCATTTGTCGTCTCGACCAAGCCCATTTCATTAGTCAAGACCTAAGTCACCAGGGATGAGGTTTGATCCCGGACCAAACCCTTATTACTGTACATGGATGTATTCGCACAGCGCAAATGTAGGTTTATAATGCTTATATCTCTTCTGTTTCAAAATTATGATCCAGGAATATTTGTTAGACTTAGTTGGAATTCATTGGCAAACAGCGTACCTTTTTCACAAAGACATTGTATTTAGGCCTGTTAGTTAAGTGACTTAAACCTATATAGATCAGCTATAATCGGAAAGATTGTTGATGAAGCCAAATAAGCTACAAATAAATAATTTAGGGAACCTACTCAAACAATTGGGTCCAAAATGACCCTCAGGACAGGGTGATTGACACTGCTGGCCGTAGTAACCTGGTTTACACTGACACTGGCCGGTCTGGGATAGACAGGATAAAGAGTTGTTCCTATTACACGAACAGTTTCCCCTGCAGGCACTGCCCCAGGTCCACTCTGCACAAACCTGTAAAAATATGCACAGGTCACCAATAATTCCAAATATTTCACGGTTGAATAAGGGCTCGGATAATCACAGATAACTGTAGACAGAAATTTCCGTTTTTCCAAAAAACAAATCAAAATATGGAGAGGCTAACATAGATATGCCCGACCCCACAAGAGATTTTCAACAGTGTGAAATAAACAGGCCGGACATTATTTCACTGAAAGCATAAGGAAAATGTCGTTTTTCATCCTTATGTTCCTAGATAATCTCCATCTTAATCGGTGCATAGTAGTTTTGCCGCATATAACGATAAACAGCTTAGATGAATAATTTATTAAAGTTTGGTGAAGTGACTCAAAAATGGGATATTGGTCAATTTATCAAACAAACAAATATCTGACATAAGTAACAGTATTGCCTTTAGCCAAGAATAAGGAAAATGTTGATCAATTTCTACAGATTATCCCATTTGAAATTAAAACAAATATCTCAGCGATTTTTAAATACCCTATTTGAGAACCAAAAACCCATTTCCGATCAAGCACTCCAATTTTTAACACATCTTACGACAATACAATGTTGTATCGATATCAAAGTTAGGCTTCAAGGAAATCGTCTTTTAAGCACCAATACTTTGGAAAAAACACATCGGTTTCGCTGCATATGAGACAGATCGAAGAAATGAAAATTACTATAATTTGAAAATATTTCTTTAGAAAACACTTGTTATACGTATGTGTGTGATAGCATTTAAAGGATGACCCTTTTGGACCAGGCGAATACGAAACGACAGTTTGCCTCTTCGTTTATTAAATTTGACCCAGACTATTTTTATTTTCATGTATCCTACTGTGCAAGCTTACGATTATACCTGAGCACAGCCGACGCCAGTGAACCCTGCAGGACAGTCGCAGTGTATTTGCCAGGACGTGACGAATTCGGTGGACAGGGAACATTGACCCCACTTAGGCTAAACAAGGATAGGTCAAGGTCAGATGCATTCAACAACGTTAACCGATTTTTACTTCAACACAGAACTGTATGCTACAACTGCTTTAAATAAACTATTATTATATTTATCAGGGTAATGATTACGCATAAATCGTTGGGCATTAATCCCAAACTGAAGTTTTGTATGATACATATTTATACATAACGTATGCTATATAGACGTTGAATGAAACGTGAGTTTAAAATAAAAAGAGAATAAAATAAAATGATTTAAAGGTTAAAAGATAAGATTAAAACAATATGTATACTTGTCATAGAACATTTGTCTTGTCTTAAAAAGTGGTTTTCCTCAAATTTAACAGCGGAACATTACTCTACGAAATTTTGATAAACTCTATAACAGTAACTTACAGTGGTTGAGTACTGTTCTGCAGTGACACACCAGGGCTCACACTTGGACACGGCACCAGAATGGCCGATAGCGGGACTACTTGGGGGCGGGCCAAACACCAGGATTCGATAAGTACCCCCACACATCTGTGTATTATCTCCAGTACAGGCGGTGTTACATTCGCTGGTTTGAGTAATGCAGTATCGTAATTAAAAAACAGTTCGCTAATTTTCTTTTTAAAAATGTCTCATGCTTTTATGTACTTTTTCTAAATATGATATTGATGTACTTAATACTGATTATTGAGTAGGTAAATGAGTTACCTGCTAAACTACGAGCATAAATCTAAATATTGATATATATGTTTGTTTAGCTAGAGACCAAATACATCTGCTTATCTGTTTATGTTCTGTTTGTATTGCTATTTATATGTGCGTTTGTATAGCTACAGATTAAATAGATAGATAAAGTAACTGTCTTGATGGCTAAATATAAAATCATTAAATGATTTGTTTTTTCTAATTTCAAATCAGATCATAGTGGCTAAATCGATAATTAATTAATCTGGTCATCTATTAAGTTAGCAATAATATACATCTTACATCTTTAAATATAGCAATAGATGATTTATATTTATTTCTAACTAGTGGTAAAATAGATCAACTATAGCCTCGCCTGTTGCTCTAGTGACATAATAGGTAAATAAAATTAATATGAAAAAAGGCAATATTTTTTTATCTTTGACCAAACCCTCAAAGTGATCATATTACACAGTGCAATATATTTGTCTTATTTCACCTTTGACCTTCAGGTCACGGTCATGGCGACTTCATCACAGTGCAGTGTACATCTTCACTGGATAATGCACGCTCATGTCTAATCTTAGTTCTAGACTGATCATGAAATGAAATATCAAAGCTCTGTTTTTTCTATGCTTTAAGTCACAATGTTTGAAAATTATCTAAAATTACCATCTTGAGATCTTACGTTTTGATATGATACCGACACAAATGAAATATGCAGCATAAAACTATGAGATCACCAATGTATTGCCGTCGTTGTGAAAAAACGAAATTGAACTGTAACCTTGATAAACGTTAGATATTTTTAATTTTGATAAAGAGAAAACGTTGTTTAAATCTAACCCGTCTGGTCTCTTTAGTTGCATTTTCAGGTGGTTGTCACAGTAACACTCGTTGTGGTATTCAGTGCCGGAGTATTTGTAGCCCTTTTGTCTATAGAAATAAAATAAAACAAATACAAGCGTTACAATGAAATTAATCTGACAGACATAAATAAATTCTTGCTATATAAAAAAAACACTTAGGGTGTTGAACAAAAGCGTTTCTCAATGCTAATGTAAATTGCCTGTTGAGAACTAAATATACTGTCTACCAACAGTACAGGACTGAAGTTATTGTCTACGTATTTAAGAACTCTCTACAGTCACACTCAACTATCGGTTTGGTTAAAGGTCGTCTAAACTTTGGTTTTGACAGGGAGTCTTTGGTTTGATCGAAGTTAGCTCACCTTAATAATTGAATAAAGGTTAACTCATATGTAGGTGTTACTGAAGGTCACCTTACCTCCCATTTGATTGAAAGTTAGGTATAACGTAGCTTTGGCTGACAGATCAAATCCTCTATGTAAACCTGACAGAAGGTTGAGTCACCTGTACCTAGGTTTGTCCGAAGTTAGATCAACTTAAGGTTGGATAAAATGTTTACTTACATAAAGATTTGCTTGAATGTCAACTTTACTTAGGTTAGACTGAAAGTCAACTCACCTGGAAGTGTTTCATTCTGTACGATCGAACGAAAGTCGATTTACCTGAAGCTTTGATTAAAGGTAATTTCACCTGTAAGTTTGTGTGAATATTAACTTACCTAAAGATTTGTTTAAATGTTTATTACCTGTAGTTTTGTCTAAAGGTAACTTCACATGTACAGTTGTGGGACCGCACAACACACCAAAAATAGCGTGCGCACACCGTGCATACGTCGTTGACACATCGTCCGCACATCGTCCACACATGGTGCGCACAACTGTGCGATTTAGCAATCGTTCGCCCCGTTGTGCGCTTCTCTCCGCACAATTGTGCGATTTGGGATCATTTGTAGATCAAAATTACGGAATGACATAAATACGGAAGGCTTGTATGCGATAATGTACACTGTGTATATATCTGTAATTTCTCATCACAATAATCAAGATTATACAATTTCACAATGCGTGTTACACAGTATTACAGCGACCGTTAGGCTGTCAAGAATGGGTTTGGCTCCAAGGTAACAGAACAGGTATATAACAATTATATGAGTGTTCGGAGTTTTACCTGACCAGTGCCTGACACAAAGAGCTGATATGCGATACCGTTTGACCGTATTGAATAGTATTTGTTATTTGCATTCGTTTGCCTATAGCTCCCCTTCACCTGGATGTTCACACCCCCGGCCTAACCCGACGAGTTACGTAAGTGCCCTAGACGGGGAGAAAACTACGGTCCAGTTACATATACAAAGTGGTTATGTTAACCTGTAATATGGGATTGTGTTGTAATTTTACATGTGTCGATTAAGTTTGTTTAAAAATACAGAAAACACAATTTCTAAATATAAGAATGTATAGACAGAAAGATAAGTTTATAGATGTTGCTAGAATATAGAAACAAACGTAAACATCAAGTGTATATGTTTAAACACGAAACCGTATAAATTGTTAAAGCATTCCTCAATTTACACCAACCACGATTGTTATCGCACAACGTCCGTCCATCGTGCGCACAGATGTGCGCAAGCAATGATCGTCCAGCTTTTTATCGTTCGCCCATCGTGCACACACCGTTCACACACCGTGCACACATCGTGCGCACACCGCACATCGTGTAACGTTGTGCGATCCCACAACTGTAGGACTAAGGATTAACTAAATGTCATTTATAACCTTTATTTTCGACTGAAAATATATTCATCATCATTACTGTTTTGCAAAAGTTCGTCGCTTGCCTCTCATTTCGAATATTATAATGGGCGACTCAAATGTAGATTATTTTGTCATATCTACAATGAGTAAACTTATAGTCTTTATTGACTAAGCAATACCTGCATAAAGAAATACACTTCTCTTGGGTCAAACTCTGTTTCTGGGCATTGGTTAGACCGGCTGCTACTGATAACATTCTGTAGGTTGTGTTGTCTACAAAGCAGCCACGGAGCACCTCGTTACCGTACTGGGTAGTTGCTAAGTTAATCGACTGCTGGCCAGCTTGACTGTGATCCTGTAAGATTTGATAGAAACTGTTTAAAGAGGTTGACTACAAACAATGCAAGTCTAACAGTACAGACTAAAGCAGGTCGAAATTTAAAGGTATACTATGTCAAAGTGCAATATAAATAGTAGTATAGCGACAGTTGAGTAACAACTACTGCCTATTCGTTCGGATGTGAAAGATGTGTAGAACAGTATACGTGTTAGGTTGTAAGATGTGTAAACCTACTCTATACTTGTTATGGCATACGAGGTTGTGTTTACCTTTACTTGTTATATAGTGTGTTGTTGTGTAGACCTATATTTGTTATATCGTGTGATGTTGTCTAGAATTACTGTTTGTCTATTTGATGTTTTGCGGTGTTATGGCCACCTACCGGGTACTCGTTCTGTAGTGTGGCAGTCGTGTAGATTGCAGAGGTTTTTCTGGTATACCGCTCATCGCCCGTGTAGGTGACATACTCTAAACGGACACGCCCACTGCCACCTACCCCACCAGCATTACTGACAGGGGCGTAACCTCCATTACCTCCTGACACATCTAACTTCCATCGACCCGGTAAACCTATAGATTTAACATGTACACATGATAAGCCCATTGACGGAATCCGACAAATGATGATGTTTTATGGTTTGATATCAAATGCATATGTTTACCTCCCAGGATGTATTCCAGGAGGTACAGGCAAACACATTTCCTTTTTAAAACGTTGGGAACCAAAGAGATCAAAATCCCTTCATGCATACTAAGGAGTAGGATATTAAAGGTTTTTCTCATTTGTCTTACTTTGCCGAAGAGGGTTTTTTACTTCAACATACATAGTATTAAGTCCCTATGGACAATGGATGTAAGAAATCTAGTAAACTTCCGTTCCCGGTGCCGATTCATCCTCATTTTATTGGCTTTATCCCCCTCCCTTATACCACTGTTAAAACATTGCAACTATGAGTCAGAAAGTGTTTAGCAACATGACAGTATCTTAGGTAAATCATACACACATACATGGTTAACGTGCTGAAGTATTAAAACAAATATTAACTTGGCTGATCTGGAGCTATTCTTATTTTTACTCTAGACCGAGTGAAATGTCCTTACTGATGAAGATAAACTTGATATCCTTACTGTCTTTAATGTCCCCACTTCTAGCATATATACTTACCGATGGAGATGGTCTTGGCTGATATAAGGATACTTCCCCCACTTCCCCCGCCCCCTGGGCCAGATTCGTCCCAGCATGCTGTTGCATTTTGACTGGAGCACGTTAAACTTCCTACCTGTGTCGAGGTGCACGGACGTGGACACCAACTGTTGAACATTAAACAAGACATATTTAAAACTCACGAAACAAATGTTCTGTAGATCAATGCTTTAATGGTACTATTCATATATAAACCTATTTTATACATTTCTTTACCTTATTTATGTTTAGGTGGCCAAATGTCTTTGAAACCTATATATTTATCCTCGTATGGTGTTACCTCAATATAACTGTACCACTGTCAGATGGCATTAATATCAGCTATAAATTACATAACCCGATTATTGATGTCATCATTATCACGACATTATAGGTAACGTTGGGTACCGCTGACGTGCCATGGACAAATGACTGTTCTAGAAAATCACCAATATGGGCTAATCATCGAAGTTTTGTTTTGTTCTGAAATATCAACTTATTCCAAAAATCTTTTAACTGCTCTCAGTTGGCATTTATACTGGGTATGAATGCCAGCAGTTAGCAGTTCAGTGATTAAATGGTAAAGCCCTTTATAATTCAAACAAATAATATTATCATTTCCTATTAACATTTGTTGCCTTACATACATAATAAAAGTATCATCTTCGACTTTAGGTGTTAAATATACGTTCCTTATCTCCATTTTGTCTTTCTGTTTGTATCACACAACTTCTGTACGCATCCCTATAGCATTGCAATGCTATTACATTTTATTGTTTAAACTGCTAATGAACCTGTGCACCCTTACCTGTTTACATCACTGAAGGATTACTATCGTAACTGTTTTATATCACACAACATTGATTATCTTTCTTTCTTACCACATAACCAAGTTACTGTAACTTTCAGTTTGCCTGATAACTTCCCAACATATATAAGGTTATATCTTTACTAGGCTGAAGTGGCATATCATCTCGTTACAGTACTTCCTACTATCAATATATAAGGTTGTATGTTTACCAGGTTGGAGTGTCATATCATCTCGTTCCTTCCTACTATTAATATAAGGTTGTATGTTTACCAGGCTGGAGTGTCATACCATCTCGTTACTTCCTACTATTAATATAAGGTTGTATGTTTATCAGGCTGAAGTGTCATATCATCTCGTTCCTTCCTACTATTAATATAAGGTTGTATGTTTATCAGGCTGAAGTGTCATATCATCGCGTTCCCTCCTACTATCAATATAAGGTTGTATGTTTACCAGGCTGAAGTGTCATATCATCTCGTTACTTCCTACTATCAATATAAGGTTATATGTTTATCAGGCTGAAGTGTCATATCATCTCGTTACTTCCTACTATTAATATAAGGTTGTATGTTTATCAGGGTGAAGTGTCATATCATCGCGTTCCCTCCTACTATCAATATAAGGTTATAACTTTACCAGGCTGAAGTGTCATATCATCTCGTTACTTCCTACTATCAATATAAGGTTATAACTTTACCAGGCTGAAGTGTCATATCATCTCGTTACGTCCTGCTATCAATATAAGGTTGTATGTTTACCCGGCTGAAATGTCACCCTGTCCACGTTCGCCAGTGGCTATGACTTTTCCAGTGATCTTTACACTTAGCTCCGCCTTTAGACTGATGGCACCTCCACCATTGCCGCCCTTACCACCTACAAGAGGAATCAACAAGTCTACGTATATTAAAGTTACAATTATTATCCAATCAATTTGTTTAAGATCGATAATGTCAATGTTAATTAGGGAAATATTGTAGAAATGTGGCGGCAAATACGCTGAATAGCCTGATGTAAGCTGACAGCATGTGTGGCGGACAATAAGCTAGATATCCTGGTGTAACCTGACAGAAAGAACATTTGCACCACTAGTACAGACGTTACATTGAATAACATTTTCATTCCGTTGACTAGTCTTCCGTTCCGTTGACGGCGAGGTTCGTTAACCTGAATATTTCGCTATATAGATACTTACCGGTAGGGTTGTCGGTGAGGTTTGTTAACCTGATTATTTCGCTATATAGATACTTCCCGGCAGGGTTGTCGGTGATGTTTGTTTACCTAATTATTTCGCTATATAAATACTTACCGGTAGGGTTGACGGTGAGGTTTTTTAACCAGAGTATTTCGCTATATAGATACTTACAAGCAGGGTTAACGGTGATGGTTGTTTACCTAATTATTTCGCTATATAAATACTTACCGGCAGGGTTGACGGTGAGGTTTGTTAACCTGAATATTTCGCTATATAGATACTTACCGGCAGGATTGACGGCGAGGTTTGTTAACCTCATTATTTCGCTATATAGATACTTACCAGCAGGGTTGACGGTGAGGTTTTTTAACCTGATTATTTCGCTACATAGATACTTACCGGCAGTGTTGACGGCGAGGGTTGTTAACCTGATTATTTCGCTATATAGATACTTACCGGCAGGATTGACGGCGAGGTTTGTTAACCTGATTATTTCGCTATATAGATACTTACCGGCAGGGTTGACGGTGAGTTTTTTTAATCTGTTTATTTCGTTATACAGGTACTTACCGGCAGGGTTGACGGTGAGGTTTGTAGAGCTGCCCCCACTGCCGCCACCTGACCCCATGAAAAGGTCACTGAGCGCGCTGTCCCCATACATTTGGCCTGAACCTCCGAATCCATTACTATTTTTGCTCGTTAGCCTGTTTATATATGATCTGAATAAAAGATCAAAATATGTTAATACTTTCCCTGGCTTTATATCACTTTCCTGTCGGTCATCCCTAAGTGGAGAATTATGCATCATACAGTGACATTTCATAAATAATACAATGATGTGTCAACATATCATATATCAAAATGCCGAATATTATGCATTATAACTACAACCGGACTTTTTTTTTTCTATACGATTGAAGGTAATGGATCTCCTATAAACCAACAGATTTGATAAATTAGACTTTCCTGCATTCCATTAAAACATTGTGATGCCAACCTTTGCATATTGCCATGTATTATGTTGACGGATTACCATACAATTTTTTGACGTTTTGCCTTGTTTTCTGTTGAAAGATGGGTTATTTATCGAATGTTATTATTAAAGATTGTATGCCTCCATTCTGAACAAAATCTTGTGTTTAAAGAGAAGACGGTTTTGAATTAAGTTTTCAAAACTTTCCTTATATCTTTTGTTTGCCTTACTATACATGGAATTCGTGTAAAATCGTTATTAACAACACTCAAGAAAACGAAAATCAAGGCAATATATCAAATTTGAGAAACATCTATTTTACGATATACTATTTTATTAGATAAAGACATTTAAGAGAGTGAGAAAAAAATGAGATCTAGGTTTTGAGAAATATCTATTAAGATGTGACTTCATAATTGTGTGCACTGTGTTTAACCATCATGAATATACAATGTAGAACTCACGCTCCACTGCCGTATCCTGCCCCTCCCCCAGGTTCGCCGCGATGGTCAGACTGACCGGATCCTCCCAGTCCTCCTCCTCCACCTCCTCTGTTGTCCTGGGTACTTGTCTTACCTAAACCTGTAAATTAAATTCTATTTATATAAACCACTACATAGTAATTTTATTAAACTGAACCGTAAATACAACTTGTCGCACACAACACTACTAAAACATCTCTTATACAAACCTGTCAACGCATTTTGTCTTATTCGAAGCCAGAAATACACTTCAAAGATTACAGAATGTCAAAATAGGGTCAATAGTTCCATATTATACTTTGAAATACAGAGGTAATTTAACATGCACGACCTAAAACAATTATGATAAAACAATTTGATGAAAGGTTTAAATACGAGTAATTGTGTACTAAAACCGTACAATGGGGCATAACTTGGGCATAATGCCAAACAGACAATTTTGAAAATAAACTGGGTTTATCAAGTTAATCACGACTTATGTAGAACATCTTCATTCAATAATTGCGTCGCATCTTTGAAACGCATGCAGGAGCATACTAATTCCAAATTCGACAATATTACGGGGTTACAAGACGTCAAAAATAGTTGCCGCTTTAACAGAAATTATGTTGAAGAACTTGATATCTAAAAGTAAAATTTGTCATGTCTTATACACACATAGAAAGGCAAGTCTTACCCAATATGTACATACAATGTACTACTTCCATTACATAACACTGTTGTTGCATTTGTCTTACCGAATTATTAATAACTCGTTGTATTATCAAAACCTGTAAACATATTTTACTTAAAGGACGCCTTCCATTTTACTTTTAGGAATTTAACAAAGGCAATCGAACGCCTGTGAGTTATTTCAAGGGTTTGGTTCCAGATCTTCCGTGCCAAGGTTATGTACCTAGATCCGTCTATGGCAAGAATTTTAAAAGATATCTGAACCTAAAGCAAGCCATTATTTGAGCATGATTTGTTCATTTAGATGTAAGTTAGAGTAGGTTGCCTTTCAGATGCTGTTAACAATGGTTGGACTCCCAATTAGTCCACATACTTAGGTAGGACTCCCCTTGCTGGCCTGTGACCCCGCCCTTTCTAAAAAGCTCCACATACCTTGATAGGACGCCCCTAGCTGGCTTGTAGCTCATATCCTAGCCCATATTGTCCACGTTTCCGGGTAGGACACCCCCCCCCCCCCTCTCTGTAGACCCAGAATTCTGCCCATATTCCCAACGTACCTGCGGGGGAATCCTCCTGCTGGCATGTAGCTCCGTCCTTCCAATATTGTCCACGTACCTGGATAGGACTCCTTTGTCTGTTTGTAGCCCTTGCCCTTTGCCCATATTCCCTAATACCTGAGGAGGAATCCCCTTGCTGGCCTGGAGCCCCGTCCTTCCCATATTGTCCTCGCACTTGGGCAGGACTCCTCTTGCTTGCCTGTAGCCCCTGCCCTTGTCCATATTATTCACGTACCTGGATAGGTCGCCCCTTGCCAGTCTAAAGCCCCTGTTCTTTGCCCATATTCCCCGCGTACCTGAGGTGAAATTCTCTTGCTGACTTGTAGCCCCTGCATTGCCCATATTGTCCACGGAACTGTGGAAGGACTCCCCTTACTTGCATATATCCCCCGTCCTTGACCATATTGTCCACATACCTGGGTAGGACTCCCCTTGCTGGCCCGTAGCCCCCGCCCTTGGCCTAGATCCACCTCTATATCCTGCAGCATTGGCGCTCAATGTGCCAGCAATCAGGATGTTCTGCAAAAGATAGCGATGGCACTTCATGAAAAAGATTTCTTGTACCTCGTAACGTTACGTGTATTTAAACTTTCAAAGAACGATTAACACACACACACACACACACACACACACACACACGTGATTGCACCTTTAAAGGGCCGGTTTCCAAAACGGCCCCTTCTCTGATTCAAATTTCCTGTTGGTGGTGCATTGCCCATGCCGTTGTGGTCACAAATATATAAAGTATAAAGATTTAGGTCACTTGGTTTGTTTTTTATGGCTCCACAACGTTGTACCTTTCAGAAGCTGTCTAAGTGTTGATAAAATGTGCATGTTATGTAAAATATTAATGAAAATCTAATCAAATGATGGTCACCGTAAAGAATACATTCATGGCATGATTGTGACAAAAAA